CGGTCGGTCGGTCGGTCGGTCGGTATGTATGCATGTTTTGTATGTATGTGTGTATGTATGCATGTATGTATGTACGTATGTATATATGTATGTATGTATCCATGCCTTCATGTATGCATTTATGTAGGGAGGAAGGGAGGGATGGATGGCCTAATAATTAGAATAAGATTTGGGGCATATTATACTACAGAAGAGGGCGGCATTAAGGGGATAGTGCTACTAATTCTTCCGGCCCTGCTGCTCAGGTTTGACATGGCCGCGTGGAACAATTGAACGGAAAGCAGAATTCAGAATAAAGACCTTGCACAATCTCAAGGCGAAGGCGAAAGCCTGAGCCTCATGTAACACTAACATTGAAGCCCTCAATTCCTATATACCATGGGCGAGTACTGGCCTGGAAGAACATGCCAATGATAGCCATCATGGCAAGGCGTCCGTTGGCCAACCTGGATTGCTTAGGGTGCTGCATGGTGTGTGGCCAGTGTGGCCTGGATTGCACGGCCCATATCGCTAGATAAAGTTTGGAGTTTGTGACGGGCTTGGGCCTTTGTTCATCAAGGGCACTTTGACGACAACATTCGTGATACGACTATAAGAATAACAGCTGTAGGACCGCAGGATAAGGGTTTCTTCCGGCAGAGACCCAGGTGAACCCTCTCAGGCTGTAGGAAGTTGCTAGTGGAGGAGCTTCAATCTCCATGTTGCTCGCTCAGCCCGTACGATAACCATAGTCCAAGAAGGCCCCACAGCCAAGTCGCTCAGCATTGAGCTTCTTCTTGCGAGTCTCAGGGTCCTGCGGGTTGCGAAAGTATGTTCGTTGTCGTGCGAGAGGGGCCTAGGGTATCGCTTTTCGCACGGGTGTAAAGGTGCGACCTTCACCTTGAGCGTAAAGCTTCGAAGGGTGTAAGCCTGTCTTGCTGTTCTAGTAAGGTTTCATCACCCAACAGGACTGAGCTGGCTCATAAGCCCACGAGCTGGCTCGCACGACTGGGCTTCAACAACAGGGGCTCCGCAGATAAACAGGAAGGGTGCAATGGGCATGCGAGCTTCATTGCAGTGGTGCATCAAACATGGCTCTTTCAGTTGGGGATCACCTCATGTTCGTGCACTACACCGAAACTTAAAGTGTCTTAAAGTCCTGAGCAACACTAAAGAAACACACGGAAGCCTGAAAACTGAAGAGCTGAAGTGTGCTCGGCCAAGACGGTCCAAAACATTGAGGATCCAGCTTCAATCTCGATGATTTCGGCCGAGTGTCTATTAAGAGCCTTAGAACAAACCAAATTGTCACTCAGGGATGCTTTCGTGTGCACAGAGCCTTAAACCTTTCATAACCGAAACTAGATTAACGAAACAGAAACAGGATAAAAGGCCGTTTCCGGCTCCGGTGCCCGCAAGCATCAGCTGGGAACCCGGTCCTCGATGCCGGTGTTCATGATGCCGATGGACCTGCTTCAACCCTGAAGCCTCAACACCCTGCAAGCCCAGCGGGCAATTGGGTTTAAGTTTGGAGTTGAAGATCGCCGGTTCGGGTTGTAAGGGATGGTGGCTGTGATCCCTGTTGCGGACATTCAAAGGTTCGCACGAATGCCCCAGAGAAGCCAATTCCAAGGGCTTCAGGGTTTGGGCACCCTAAACCAAAAATACTGGAACATCCTATACGGTTAGCATGGAACAACCTAAGTTTCCGACAAACCTTCGCAAAGCGCAAACGAATCATGCCGGCCAACACGCACAGAGACTAAACCCACACCCAGAGAGACTGAATGACCAAATCCACGAACTTCCTTGAACCTTCAACCCTAAAACCCTCCTAAGTTCGAAGCCCCCAACCCCAACCTTCATCCTGAACAGTTCGACCCTCCCCAGTCGTCCCCTGCCTCAAGCCGAGGAAGCCTGCTCCGTAGTTGCCCGGCTCGTTGTTGATCTGCTCGTTGTAGATCTCGGCAAGATACACAGAGGGAGTCGGAGGGATGCGGGCGCCATGTGTTCGGAGCTCGGGCTTGAGGGATGCAGAGTTTTAAGATGCGGGAAGGGTTGGAGTCTAAATGGAGCCTGGCAATTCCCCCAAGCACATACATCAAAAGCTGCCAGACTCAACCAGAAGATCCTAAACGTCTCTCGGCCCAGGCGCGTTGACCTCCACGATGCCGGCAAAGCCGACGATCTGCAGCCAGCCGAATGCAGGGACCTAGAATATTGGCAGGTGCTCGTGTTGCTTCCACAAGAGCTTTTCTCCGAGTGTGTTTGAGTTCCTAGTTGAGGAATATATCCCTTGAAGTATAGAGAGCTTCTGATTGGGCTTTGGGGTGTACTCCTCGAGGCAAGGGTGTGTCGCTGGGTCCCTCCTTACTGTAGATGTTGTGTCTTGAGGGTCTTGAGGGTCTTGGGCCTAAGGTGTTCGATCATGTACTCAGCCGGCCCGAGCCCCGAAGCAAATCCTCAGCAAGCCCTATGCCCTGCGCCCCCACTTCTCAAGGCACCTTGGAGAAAGCACTCAGGCCGTTGGGCACATCGGCGAACTTGATGTCCAGGTACTTGGAGAGGTATCCGGGGAACCTGCCGGAATGAAAGCTTTGCAGGTGTGTAGGGGTCTCGGGCGCTGTGGTTTACAGGGTTCGGGGCTTCGGGTTTGGAGTTGTGGTGCTTTTCTTCCCGTAAAGCTCCAACACAGGGACCCAAGCAAAGAAGTGCAGTGATTGTAGCTAAGAACCCAGACAAAGTCAAAAGCTTCGCGGTCCCTGGCCTCCAGTACTCCGGAAGGATGTAGCCGATGGTGGCGAACATCGACACCTTTGGACGAGAAATTGCGTTTAAGCTTCGGGCCGCTAAGGTTTGGGAGGGCGGGGATGTCCGCGTCGAGTCACCTATGGCCTATGGCTGAACTTTCAGCCCATGAGCCTCGGGCTAAGAGCTCATTCCGGTCAAGATCCTAAATCCTCCGAGCAGCTCGTCCGTGCTTGAGCTCCACCTCACGGCGGCGATTGAAGTCCTTGGTCGCAGGCACAACAAGCCTCAAGGTTTCGAGGGTTTGGTCGCCCATGGGCCCCAACCAACATGGTTCGAGAAAGGAGAAAGCAGCTGCGAACCAGCCATGAAATGTCAACTGTAACCTCCGAAATCCCGGAGGTAAGCTTCTCAGTGCAAGACTGCTTCGAAGACCAACGTCAGCAGAATTCCATGTACACCCTACGCATGATGCAGTATTTCTCGCCGTGCTGCCGAGACATTGCCGCTTGCGGAGAGACCCAGGGGGTCCCAGAATCCGACAGGCGGCTGCACCTGACAAGTTATTCTTTGGGACGGGACGTAAGCCCGAACACCCTACAGCCTGTAGGCTGGACATGTTGTTTCACAATTTGCTTGCCTCGAATGCCAAGCGACAAAATCTTTATTGTCGGCTTTGGTGGCCCTCGTTTCAGCCCAAACCTGCAAGCCCAAATGCCGGAGCCTTGAAGCCCCAAAGAAAACCCGAACGCCCAAACCCTGGATCCTGTCTTGCCGGGTCGCTCCAGTCTGATCCTCGAAGGCGCGCAGAGGGGAGTCCGTGTAGTTGGCCCAGTCGCCCCAGGCGGAGCCTCGGTACAGGGGCATTGCACCGTTAATTCTCAGAAATTTCTGAACCTGACATGGAACACCTTGCGCACTTTTTGGCAGTGTCCTGGGTGCATGCTGAAATAGTGACGCTTTCACGGAATGTCCATTACAAGTAAAGGCACCGGTGAGTCCGTCCTGGAAGAACATGCCAATGATCGCCATCCTTGGACAATGCTCGAAACTTCCTGATGCCACTTCCTACACCCACGGGGCCAAGGCTTGGGTGTGATCCGTGGACCCAAAGACTCAGAACAAAGACCCGAGGGCTAGCAAGTGCAAACTACAGTGTAGCTTCGTCACTTTTGCTGTTCGGAGATCCCTGGATATATTCCAATCCGAAAGAAAAAGAAACGAGGTTGGATGCATGCCATCACAGACCCTGGCCAAACGGCTAAGAACATGAACCTATAGAGACCGAGCCGCGGTTTTTGACAGCCCTAGATTGCTCCCATTGTCTGAGGATCCCAACCTCAAATCGGCTTGCTGAAATCCCAGGGCTAAACCCAAAACCCTGCCAGGGCACATGGCCAGGCGGCCGTTGGCAATCTCAGCGCTCAACCTTAGAAGGTGGTGCTGACTTCGAAAGCTTCATCTAGGATAGTGCCGGATAGTGGGTCGGGAGGTCAGGTCTATACTGCTCGTTGTGCTTCGGATTGTGAGTTATGCGTGCCGGCTCCTCCGTTGAAAGTATCAGGCCTTTTGGGCTTGGAGCTTCTTGAGCATCCAAGCAGCTTCTTCTTCAAACCCTCTGGGTCGCTGGACGTGATGACCTTCCAGCCGTAGTCGCCGGGGGTGCCGCTGTACTTATACACAAAGAGCTCGTAGTAGCCGGCGAAGGCCACGATCTGAGCCCAGCCTGCACCCGGCACCTCGGATATGGGTGTCTCTGAATCTTGGGGCATTCGAGGTTCGGGGTTCCTGTAGTGAGGATCCTACGATGCGGGGTCTGAATGAGCATAATCAGGGGTCCCTGTTGTTTGAAACGACAAGCGGCAATGTTGAAGCTTGGCAGCAAATATCTTAACATCCAAATGCCGCCCTGGACCAAGACAACACACCAAGCCCGCAAACCCAGTAAACCCCGCCCGCAGCCCCCAAGTCCAGCACCTTGGTGATGGCAGCCAGGCCGTTTGGCACGTCCGAGAACTTCAATCCCAAGGAGGGAGACAGGAAGCCTTCACCGGGACTGTTTCTCAGAATCTCTATGAGATCTATGAAGCTTAATGTGAGGCTTGCTGTTTAGAGCTCCAGAACAAACCCAACACTTTTTAGCACACTTTGGAGACGCATGTCGGACTCTTTCAATCGGTGCACAAGAGCAGATTGAGGTTTGGGGCCGCGGGCATTGTGGCCAAAACTCCAGCCGCCTTTAAAACAAAGCAAGTGCGCACACACGGACATCCACATGTCCTCACTGCGGCCAACCGAAAATATCCGAGGCCCTGCAACCAGGACGTTGGGTATCTGAGAGTCAGTGCACCCCTGCAATACCTCTCATCTGGAGACACTTTGCCATAAACCACAAATACCTTTCTTGACAAATATCTGCATGACAGCCGGCATCCCTCCAACACTCAAACCGCAACCCAAGACCCAACCCCCTTATCTGCGCCGAAGTCCGACGCCGAAAATGCCGAGTGCCGCGCCGGGCCACTTGAAATACTCCGGAACGATGTACCCTCAGGCAGGAAATTAGGCTGCAGGGCTTCTCGGCCCCTCTGGCGTGGCGTTCCGCTTCAATCGTTCATTCAACCCGGAAGTGGGACAAGACTCGCTTCTTTCACAAAGGTCACCCTATTCCAAACCCAAAGCCCAAAGCCGTACAACTGTAAGCAAACCCTGACCAATCACACCGTTTGCAGGCAGGCAGCCGAGCGTGGCATACATGGCGACTCGCCCGTGCCTAGCGCTTGTTGGTGTAATGGCTTAGGCTTGAGGGTGTCTAGTATAGGGTGCTGAAAGATGTTCTTAAACTACAACTCCGATCTTACTCATGATATTGAAGCTCCTGCACACAAACCGTCTGCCCTGGACTCAAAACCTTGAAGCCCCAAACCCCAGAACCTCCAGAAACCCTTTGAAGCCGCGGTGCTTGATCTCCGTCTCTCGGCGACGCTTGAAGGTCTCCACGCTTCCTTGGAGAGAAAAACTCTTTGGCGTTGAGGCTTTTCGCGTGCTGCTTTCTCAGGATTGGAGATTGGGCTTGGAACAACTTTCGCGTTGGGGTTTTTGGAGTATGCTTTGAGTTCCTTAGTTCAGGACATGTGCACCGTGCAAATGTTGATTGGCTCAGAGTCTTGAGATCGAGCCCTGAGTCATGCCTTTCTCGGGCTCGTGGGAGTAAGTCTTCCACCCCAGAAACCCCTCTTCATCCACACACCTTTGAACCAAAGAAAAAAACAACAGCCGAGTGGCCATCGCGGGTGTAACCGACCGGATCCTCGGATTTCCACTCGAGGGTTCCGGGGCTCATGGAAAACCTACCTGGGGCTTCGGGTTGCGGGTGGGATGAGCGTTCAGGAGCTGTGGTTGAACTTTCTCCGATTCCAGGTCGACTGCGACTTGGGGCTGCGGCAGGCTGGATTATCATGAAACCCCAGGGCTTACCAAAGAGCTTACCAAAGAGTGCGTGTTCATCCCTAAAACCTATAATAAAACCTTTTAGAACCCAGAATATGATACTAATATGTTGAAATCCAACACGCAAGAAAAGACCTCTCCATCCCCTCCTCTCCCAATGGAGCGGCCAGGGAGCCCAGAAGCCCACAGGAGCCTGGACACCGAGCTCCTCCTGTTGCGGCTTAGGGGTTCTAAGCTTTAGGGCTTGCGGGCTCCAGGGCTTTAGGGCTTTAGGGCGTCAGGGCTTTGCCTCTTGGGGCTTATAGGGCCTTGGGCTTGTACGGTTCAGTGTTTAGGGCATTCAGGCCTTCTGAGGTTTAGGCGGCCTGGGGATGGGAGCTTCCTAAGGGACCGCAAAAGACATCAGGTCCTGGGGTCCTGGGTGTCGGATGTGGAGTGTTTTGAGGCACCATGAAGCTTATGATTCAGAGTTCAGGGTGCACCCTTGTTCTCCGGCTTCACTCCCATGGCCTCGAAGGCGCGCAGAGGCGAGCCGGTGTACCTCTGCCCCAACCAGGCCCCGTACTTCCCGGGTTTGCGGAGTTCGGGAATCTCATGGGCAAAGCAGGCGTAACGCCGAGACTCTGAGAAAGCTTCAAAGTAGAAGATTGCCAAAGTCCAAGGGGCAAGGCCCAGTCGCCCCAGGCGGAACCAGTAAGGCCGTCCTCAAGAATCTTTGAGGTCCAGCGAAGGAGCACCTCTACCTCGTATTATGTCATGACGAGCACTGCTTTTGGGCCCGGGTACGACGAAACACCGAGCCTTGAGATCCAAAGTCACTACGCTATCCGAAAGTGTTCCAACAATGCCCTCCGAAACCGATTGTAAACTGGACCTCGTCTTCGACAACAAGCTCAACAAGCCCCTTACGACCGGCTTATCTTCGTCTCATGTTGTCGTGACACGAAGCCTGAAACACATGAGTTCACTTGTGGCATGTCTGTCAACCTTCAAACCCTGGAACCCTCACAGCATCTTTGGTCCTGGAAGAACATCCCGATGATGGCAAACATGGCCAGGCGGCCGTTGGCCAACCTCAGGCACGTAACCGAAATGCCGAGAACACTTATGCAACAGTCATGGTGATCACTGTCACTAGAATCACTATAACCATGACTGCTAACACGCGCACCAGCACCAGCACCAGCACCAGCACCAGCATCTATATGGTCATCATCAGCAACATGATCATCAGCAGCAGCATCAACATCATCGTACTTATCATTCTGTATGCCTACCTTCATGTCAATCCCTCGGTCTTGTGCTTATCTGTCTGTCATCTCAGAAAGGTTGTGACTAACTATATAGCTTGATCGATCTATCTATCCTTCTATCTGTTTAACTACCTAACTATCTGCCCACCTTCCTAACTACCTACCTATTTATCTGTCTACCTATCTATCTACCTATCTATCTGTTATCTATCTATAGAGTCATACAGGGGCTTTGCAGGTACAGCACAGCTGGCATGTCGGCCCTGAAAATAAAGTTTTTCTGCGGGTAATGGCCGAAACCCAATCTCCAATCTTACCCCCATAACTTTTCACGATAGAACCTGTACCCCTTGAGTCGGAGACACTAAATTTTAGGCCTTTGAGCTACAAAAACGCGGGATCCTCAACTGCGCACCCTCAAGCCTAAACCGACGCTGCCAGTGTCGGAGTCCGTGCACCCAAACCCTTTCGAGGCTCTCGGGGTTTCCCGGGTCTCAGGTTGTGCCTCATGCCATGCTTCGCCTAGGGGATGGGATTTGGGTGCTTTTATTCCTGGTTGTATTCGTGCCTTGGGTCCTGGGCCTGGCGGTGTGGGCGCAGGTGGAGGGATGAATTGATACTTTGGTCCACCGTCTCTCCAACCAACTAAAGCAGCTGCGAAGCTCAGCGTTCAGCTTCTTCTTGCGAGTCTCGGGGTCCTGAAGACAGCTTCTGGGATTCAGAGAAGCTTACTCGATGCTTCAATTGCTTCGCACGGAAGGGTCGCTCAACGCTATACAGCGCTGCTTGTCCCAGGGACCTAGACCTCAAGGGAACGGAACTCGGAGTAGTCCGCAGTCTCAGGAATTTGCTACAACAAGAACCCACAAATCAGGACCATCATGCAGTGGCAGGACACCGTTTTGGCTCGTGGGTGTGTGCGACATTTCGGGCTTGCGAGGCCTTGCTACTTACGGCTCCAAACCACACATCCCTGAACCTTAATCCTAAAGCTTAAAACCAAAGAGCCGAAAACAGTTTTTTTGCTCGAGTTCTGAGTTCACGCCACGCAATTGCCTCAACGCAAGACCTGATCCTGAGACGCAAAGCTGAGAGCGGAATTTACTTCGAAGGAGTCAGGCATTAGCATCTATGGCTTGTGGAGTTTAGTTTTTTAGGGTCCTGGATGCCGGTGTTCATGATGCCGATGGACCTGGCAGCAGTCGGTGTCATGTAAATGTCATAACAACTCATGACCGTATCTGCTAACAGCGCAGGCGACTTGCCGAAGAGAAACATCAAACGGTGCACTTTAGCCCAGCTATATGGTCTCAAAACTTTGTACCGCAGGTTCACACCCTTGACAAACTCTAGGTCTTAAGCCACCAAAATCCGAAAGCGCAGGACCAGAAGCCCAATCCATACACGAGCACGCCTCAGGCCGAGGAAGCCTGCGCCGTAGTTGCCCGGCTCATTGTTGATCTGTTCGTTGTAGATCTCAGACACAAGTTGCTGCTCCACTTGGCTGGCGGTCGTAAGATACGAACCCATGTTGATCCTACGCACCCGCAGGCCTGCTCTCCCCCACTCTCCCGCAGACCTGAAAGCTCGAAGGCCCTGAAGCTCCAAAGCTTGAGTTTCCACTATCCGCAAACCTGTCCGATGTTCGCATGCGATCTTTTGGATTTTAGGGCTACCGGGTTTGGGATGTCCCTCGTAATCGTCTGATCTTCGTTCAAACTCGAGGCACACTCGGCCCAAAGCAAGGAAGGCATACAACGGCCTATGAAACCTGAATCAGAATCCCCAAAAATAGAACACAAACGGTGTGGAAAGACTCCTGAGTCAACAACTGAAATTGAAATCAGACTCTCATGGTTTGGCGTAGACATGCCAAGAACTCTGAGAAAGCCATTTCTTTGTACAGTACAACCCTTCCGCTCCCTGCTCAATTCTGACAGATTCTGAGCTCTCTGGGTGCCGACGGAGGGCGTTCACTTCCACGATTCCGGCGAAGCCCACGATCTGAAGCCAACCGAAGGCAGGAACCTCGAACACAGGGCTGGAGGCCAACTAACTAAGGCTTTCTTGAGATCTCCGGTGAGGGTTGGGCTAAGTGGGGTTCAGGGCTCAGATCTTCTGGACCCAAGGCTTGGTCTCTGTCCAAAGGGCATAAACCCATGTACAGTTTTGTCATGTCTCTACAAACCCTTTACCCAGCGAGCCTTGGAGAGTGCACTAAGGCCGTTGGGCACGTCGGAAAACTTGATGTCCAGGTACTTGGAGAGGTAGCCGGGGAACCTTCCAGCAGGCTCACGGCTTCCGGATACCGAGGTTAAGGCTGGGGTCGTGACCTTGCAGTTTCAGGTTGAGGTTTCAGGCCTGTTGCCACATCACGTGTGAGCCCTAGCCAAGATCCTAGCAGTATATACTACATGAGGACTGAACACGAAAGCTTCACCAATGCTCTTATATAGTCAAAGCGATACGTTTACTAAATAACGAAGTTACAACGGAAAACTGATCAGAAACATGTGTTGCTGATACACGTCGACGACGACCGTGAATGAGACTGGCAAACCGACAAGACAGTCCCTTCTCTGGACTTTCACGTTCGTTGAAAGTGCTTCGAGTTTCATGATTGACAAGGTGTGCTGCTGAATTGTGCTCTAGGTGCCAGAATTGGCTGTGTCGTCGTACCGATGCCTTCAACCCTTTCGCCCAGAGTCTGGGCAGGGGGATGGAGCGGGTTAGCACTCGGACTTTGGGGATTCAAGGCCGGCTCAGTAGTTGATAGTTTGAATGAACTTCCGAGCGCAATCTGACGTCACCCGACACAAAGCCAGAAAGCCCTCAAGAAGACGACGCAGGTAGCCCACGTACAAGACAGATGCATGTTGTGATGAACCTTTTCATGGGCCGGTCGCTGAGCCCATTTGGCGAAGCAGCAAGAGCTAATTGGAAAGGACAAACCCAAATTCTATTTAACAAAACTGATGTGGTAATGTAGTGCTGCTGGCTCTCGTGCAAGATCTTGGACTTCCCCGATCGCCGATCAGAAACACGAACTTATATTGACACGGTGTGTGGAATGTAGGACCCACGCTGTCGATGAGAAAAACTTGGTCTAGACTCAAACAGGAACGGACCTCCAGTACTCGGGCAGGATGTAGCCGATGGTGGCGAACATCGACACCTCTTATCGAGCAGCAAACAACACCGAACCCTGAATGCCCACCACTACCGCATCTCCAGTCTCCAAAATACTTACAGCGACACGCGTAGCAGCTCTAGCAAAACAACAACAGATCAGTCTCCCGACGCTAACACAGCGTATGAACAAAGCTCTGTACAAATGGACCTTTGTGTTCGTCTGTCCGCGCATGTACACCTGCCTGCCTTTCCGCCTGCCGGCCTATGTACACACAAGTTTAGGTGGATACCGGTTAATACTGTAGTGCTTGCGTACTTATGAACTTCTGGTTCGTTCACTCACTATTGATCACGTATTTATCTAGCCTGATGAAGCGATGATAACGTTGGAAACCGTCATTCCAAGAAGACGGAGCATTGCAACCATTCTCGGAGTAAGAAGTGATGTGGCCAGAGCACACGTCCGTGCTTCAGCTCCACCTCACGGCGGCGATTGTAGTCCTAGGCTGTCTGGTGTCATAGGGTTTGGGGTTTGGCTTTGGGTCTGCAAATAATACCTCGGTGTAAGGTACAATAATGTGTATGGAGGGTTGAAGGTTCTGTGCTTTTGGAGCTGAGTCACGGTCATGTGGCATTGTGCAAGAAAGTAAAAGCCACCTTGCAAAAACAAGCAACGCAACACCTTCAGATGCCGGAGCTCCGAAACGTTTCCGCTCGCAGAGAGGCCCAGGGGATCCCAGAAGCCCACGGGTGGCTGCACCTGAGAGGTAGACTTCGTGCTTGTGGGTTTTTGGTTTCAAGCCGAGGCTTGATCTGGCCTTCGGTCCGGTTTAGTTCTTGAGTTCACTACATGGCTATTTACTGTTCATCCCTCAATCCGGGATGTAGATCCCGAACACCATGAAACCTTAAACCTCCAAACATTAGATCCTCGAGCCCGAAACCCCGAAAACCCCAACCCGCAACTTCCTAAGCGCAGGGAATGAAACCGTTGTGTTAGCCAAGCAACTCCTGGCTGATCCTCGAAGGCGCGCAGAGGGGAGTCAGTGTAGTTGGCCCAGTCGCCCCAGGCGGAGCCTCTCAGGCATTTAAACCTTGCTTTTAGGGGTTGGTAGGTTTTTGGGCTTGAGGGCTTGAGGCTTGAGTTGTTTCAGAGTCGAGGGTTCAAGGTGGGTTTAGGCCGTGAAGCTCTCAAGAGCCAAACCAAGAATCCACAACAGCCGAAGTTTCCGCCAAAAGCCGAGCGGAGAACCGGGAAACCCGTCCAACCTTTTAGGGTGTGCATCGGGCTTCGATTTTTTTGTTTTTTCTTTTTTTTTTTTTTTT